TGTTCTTCACTATATTTACTGCAATAAATGCAGTGTAAAAATTTATAAAGATTAAGCACACTTTTTGGCTCTTGTTGGTCGAATTTCTTGATCGTTTTGGCATAATAATATAGCGGGTTAGCTTCACTTTTGCACATTGTATTAGGAAAGTGATTCCTCATGCTGCAGAGTTTAATTCTGCGTGATTTTTGCCCATACGTACTGGTATCCGGTGCTTTCGAAAAGTAGGAGGGAGGTTACCTCTACTGCTCACACTGAAGTGGATAGAAATTTCAGTGGGAAAGGAGTGTTGAACAACTGGGCTTTGTTACAGAACACTGCAAACGTGCAGACATATGCGTTAGCGCATCATCGCTTGGAATTGTTACGTGGTGCTGCACCGGTTGCAGAAAGCCCCGGTGCCACGTTCTGTGAGAACGCAGTGGATGGCTGGGCACACCTGGACTCCCAGTGGATGGACAAGACTTCAATGAAGGCACAAACACAGTTGGATGTACTTATCGCAGAATTTAACAGACAGAAAGAAGAAGGCGTCAAGGTAATTCCAAGAAATCACAAAGTTTGCGTTCTAGAATAAAAGGCGAATTTGCAAGTATTGAAGTAATGGTGTACTCTTATTTTCTTTGTTCATGTTTTCTTTTTTTTCTGGCTAACAGCAACAGTCATATGAAGTAGAGGCCTTTTGTGTGCAAGACCCTACTTTTAACGGTCTGTTTGCTCCAAGTTTAGCGCAAAAACGCATTATCGCACCAGAAACTCTAGCGCACGTTGCTGTCTAGCATTGGCATATAGCAAAGTATTATACCATTGTTCTAGTGCTGCATGTGCATTTGCTGGTTAGTGCAGTTTAATCTCCTTAACTGCAAAGCCAGAGAGGGTTGAAATCTTGGGTGCATTTCCTTCGTCTTTGCATGAGCAAAGGCGTGTGGAATTTAAATGTTTTCGCCTCCTCTTCCTTTCCTTCTTTTCCGGACATATCACAACTGCAACCTGAAATTTGACTAACGCATTTTCCTTTGCGCCTGTAACTGGTAGGAGTCCATCGTAATACTCAAGAATTGTCCAG